GTCCGTGGACAGGGTCACGAGCGCTACTTCCTGCTCGTTGTTGACGACTACTCGCGTTACACCACAGTCTTCCCCTTGCGCAGCAAGGGTGATGTCACTGAGGTGCTGATCGACTGGATCCGCGCAGCTCGTCTCCAGCTCAGGCAGAGCTTCGGCTCGGACTTTCCTGTTCTGCGTCTGCACTCGGACAGAGGCGGAGAGTTCTCCTCTGGCCTTCTGCGTGCCTACTGTCGTGCACGGGGCATCCGTCAGACCTTCACGCTTCCGGACTCACCGCAGCAAAATGGGATTGCTGAGCGCCGCATTGGCATGGTCATGGACGTCGCTCGTACGTCTATGATGCATGCGGCTGCCCCCCATTTTCTGTGGCCGTTTGCGGTGAGGTACGCGGCGCATCAGATCAACCTCCACCCCAGGGTCTCCAGGCCGGAGACCTCCCCAGCCTTGCTGTGGACGGGGAAGGTTGGCGATGTGTCGGCGTTCCGGGTCTGGGGATCTCGGGCGTTTGTCCGCGACCTGTCTGCGGACAAACTATCCCCTCGTGCTGCTCCTTGCGTCTTCCTGGGGTTCCCCCCTGACGCGCCTGGGTGGCAGTTTTACCACCCCACCTCTCGCCGTGTTCTGTCCTCCCAGGACGTCACGTTTGACGAGTCGGTCCCCTACTACCGCCTCTTCCCCTACCGCACTCCGTCCCTCCCCCCACCCCCACTCTTCCTGGTACCAGGTCCCCCCCAGGTAGACCCCCTCCCCCCTCAGGGTCCTGCCCCTTCAGGTGTGTCCCAGGTAGACGCAGTCGAGCCTGTCGAGGTCACTGGTGACTCTGGTGCTGCTGAGGGTGCTGAGGCTGGGGGTGCTGTACCTGGGGGTGCGGAGCCTAGGGGTGCTGGGCCTGGGGGTGCTACGTCTGGGGGTGCTGAGCCTAGGGGTGCTGAGCCTGGGGGTGCTGAGCCTAGGGGTGCTGAGCCTGGGGGTGCTGAGCCTGGGGGTGCTGAGCCTAGGGGTGCTGAGCCTGGGGGTGCTGAGCCTAGGGGTGCTACGTCTGGGGGTGCTGAGCCTAGGGGTGCTACGCCTGGGGGTGCTGAGCCTGGAGGTGCTCCGCCTGGAGGTTCTCCGAGTGCTTCGTCTCGCCGGGAGCCACTTTCTCCACAGGAGCTGCGTGAGTGGTTTGCCCGGCGCTGGAGGCGTGCTGCTGGTGCTGGAGGTCCTTCGACTGCTGAGGGTGCTGCGGTCGCGGGTCCCAGAGGTGCTCGTCCTGGGTGCACTGGAGCTGGTGCTGCTGAGGGTGCTGGCGCTGAGACTACCGCTGGCAGTCCTACTGGGGGTGCTCCTGGTGCTGCTGGAGGTTCTGGAGCTACTGGTGGTGCTGCTGGAGCGGGTGCTCCTGCTGAGGGTTCTGGTGCTGTCCCTGCTGCTTCTAGCGTCGCCGCGCGGCCTCGACCGTACTTCGTGCCACTCCTGCAGCAGGTTCTTGGTCTTCCACCTTCTACTGGTCCTCCTCCTCCCTTAGAGTGTCCACAGCCTGTCTCGTCCCAGCTACAGTTGCAGCCTACCTCCCCTTTGCCTGCTCCTTCTCCCTACACTGGTCCTACTGGAGGTCTGGCTGAGCGTCGTGAGCCTGCGTCTCGCCCTACGTCGCCTGTCCGTGCTGCTCGCACTAGTGGTCGCGGTTCGCGTCAGCGTCCTCCTCCTGTCCCTGGCACGCACCGGATGTCTCTGCGTCCGTCCACTGCTCCTCTGCGTGCCCCTTTGCCTTCTCCTCCTGAGTCCTCTCTTCCTGCTCTTGCCGACCCGGAGTCGGACTCTCTTCGTGCTGCCAGTCCTACTGTCACGCGTCTCCTTGCTACTGTTGTCACTGACCCTTCTTTCGAGTCTACTGTTGCGTCTGCTCTAGTTACTGAGCTCGTCGACTTTGCTGCTCGCTGTCGCTTAGACTACGCTGCTAGTCTTGTCGCTGAGTCTGAGTCTGTCTGTCCTCCGTCCGTCGGGGGTGAGTGTGCCCTTGGCACGGACGTCCTTGAGGACAGGCAGGAGGAGTTCCAGTGTCTGGCAGCTGCCTCACCTCATCTCGTGTCCGTACTGCTTACCCCTGAGGGAGACCCGGATGCACTTGACATCCCGACTCCGCGCTCTTACGCGGAGGCGATAGAGGGTCCCTACTCCTCTCAGTGGCAGGCAGCTATGGATGCAGAGATGGCTTCCTGGAAGTCCACAGGCACCTACGTTGACGCTGTCCCCCCTCCTGGGGCGAACATCGTCAGTGGCATGTGGATCTTCAGGGTGAAGCGGCCGCCGGGTTCTCCGCCTGTCTTCAAGGCGCGTTACGTGGCTCGTGGCTTCAGTCAGCGGCAGGGAGTTGACTACTTTCAGACCTTCTCCCCCACCCCGAAGATGACCACTCTTCGGGTACTGCTGCACGTTGCTGCTCACCGTGACTACGAGCTGCACTCTCTTGACTTCAGCACAGCTTTCTTGCAGGGCAGCCTGCACGAGGAGATCTGGCTGCGTCGCCCACCTGGCTTCACTGGGTCTTTCCCTTCTGGTACCCAGTGGAGTCTCCGGCGTCCAGTCTACGGTCTCCGCCAGGCGCCACGTGAGTGGCACGACACACTGAGGACTACACTTGCGGCTCTTGGGTTTGCTCCTTCTACTGCCGACCCGTCGCTGTTTCTACGCACCGACACCTCTCTGCCGCCGTTCTACATCCTCGTGTACGTCGACGACTTGGTCTTTGCCACAGCTGACACTGCTGGACTCGCCTACGTGAAGTCCGAGCTGCAGAAGAGACACACGTGCACAGACCTAGGTGAACTGCGCAGCTACCTTGGCTTGCAGATCACCCGGGACAGAGCACGCCGCACCATTACCCTGACTCAGTCACACATGGTGCAGCAGGTCCTTCAGCGCTTCGGCTTCACGTACTCCTCGCCTCAGGCCACTCCTCTGTCTACTCGCCACTCGCTCTCAGCTCTGCCTTCGGATGAGTCCGTAGAGTCGAGTGGCCCGTACCCAGAGCTTGTTGGCTGCCTCATGTACCTGATGACCTGCACACGACCTGACCTTGCATACCCTCTTAGCATTCTGGCACGCTATGTTGCTCCTGGGAGACACAGACCAGAGCACATGGCTGCAGCGAAGAGGGTGTTGCGCTACTTGTGCAGTACGTCGGGCATGGAGCTAGTGCTTGGAGGGCGGAGTCCAGTGGTCCTCACTGGGCACGCGGACGCTTCTTGGGCTGACGACCAGGCTACGCAGCGGTCGTCACAGGGTTACACCTTCAGCCTTGGTTCCGGCTCTGTTTCGTGGCGGGCTACTCGCTCGTCTTCTGTTCTTGGCTCGAGTTGTGAGGCTGAGATCTACGCCGGGGCCATGGCTGCACAGGAGCTTCGCTGGCTCACCTACCTGCTGACCGACCTTGGAGAGCCGCCTCGTTCTCCTCCAGTCCTGTACGTAGACAACAAGGCCATGCTGGCCTTGTGTCGAGAGCAGCGACTGGAGCACAGAACAAAGCACATTGCTCTCCGCTATTTCCTTGCTCGTGAGCTACAGCAACGTGGTCAGTTGCGGCTTGCGTACGTGGCCTCTGAGGCCAACACTGCTGATGTCTTCACCAAGGCACTTCCACCTTGTGATCATCAGCGCTTCTGCACTCAGCTGGGTCTTGTGCCCGTCTTGCCTCACTTGCTCTCCTCTTGACCTTGCCTGTACTCTCACATATATATATACCTGCTCTTGCTTGTCTAGCTTTATATATATGTGTGTACTCTTGCATGTGAACTGGCCGTGTGGCCTTGACCCTGTGCTCGGACTGTGTGGTGACTTTGTGATCCACCCTGAGCTTGCTTTGCTTTACTTTGCTTGACTGGTCTTGTGACCCCTTGTTCTCCCCCACTTTGCCTATGGGGGTGTGTCAGAACATTATAGCTTATGCTGTTGTGTAGGCTATAGTGGGGTATCCCATAGGGGGTACAACCAATTAGGGTTTCATATTTGTACTCACTTCATTTCATAGTTCATTCATTCTTGTTCAAATCTTCTCACGGTAACCCTGAGGCATCAGTGTGCCTTTAATGTAAACCCTGGCATATCAAGAAAATCCTAGCTCCAAAAAAAATTACCCTAGGCCATCAGTGTGACTACCAAAAACCACCCTGATAATCAGGGTATCAGGGTGATTTACACTGATAAAATTAGCCCTGGTACCTACGTATGTTTTTGACACCAACCAACCGAGTCGTGTTCTGTTTGAATTATTCCATCCTGAGCGCCTCAATTCGAACGTTACCAGGTAAACCCAATAATTGCTGTCCATTACGAACGAAGGCACGTACTGGAACTCACAAGCCCTTCATTATGGAAACAAACCCATTCTTCATTCATACGCTCTGTCCAGCTCATACTCTGTAAAGAATCTCACAATTTGAGTGTACACGTCCGTAGCGACAGAAGTGGCGAACAGAAAATCCAGGTGTGCATAATCTGGCATGTATAACACCTTGGGTCGTTGTGCCAGCCTGGAAATGAGCCATTCCACGTCAGCAGGCACTGCAAGGGAGTCTTTACCACCATACGCTATAGCAAGTCGTGTAGTAGAGGGGAAATCCGAGGCATGGAAGAATGGTGGTGTGCTTTGATGGTATCGCAGCCAGTTCTGAATGAATCCGTAGTCAAACTGCTTCCACTCACCAGAGCGAACCACTGGCACGGAAGAAAGGAGGGGATATCGGACACAAAGTAAAAGGAAAGAAAAATAAATGGAATAAGGAATGATGAAGAGTGGATTAGAGCGTACATGGTGCGAAAGCTCTAATGGGAACATGAGGGTGCTGAGTTAAGGAGCAGGGCTTGCAGTGGGATAAAGCCATGCCTGCCCTACTCCCACTACAAGCCCTTGTAGTGGGCTTGTTGTGGGATAAGCACAAGGGAAGATCCTGAAGAGAAACTTCATGCAGGTATGAAACAGACAGGAAAAACAAGAAAGACGACATTCATTCTGTGCTTACTCTGGCCGAAGTGAGCCATGTTCTTAACGGACGACGCGAGAGGGAACCATGGAACAAGCTTGGCAAAGTACCGGATGTCAATGCAGCAGTTGGGGCCTGAACATGGAAAGTGGGCGGATCCAAGAAAGACGAGGTGTATGGGTGATGAAGGAACGATAGAGGTTGTTCAAGGAGTAGCACTATATCCTCCATGCGCGCGGCCCACTTTTGAGGCGCCTCAAAACAGGAGACGAATTTTGAGGCGCCTCAAAACAGGAGACGAATTTTGAGGCGCCTCACAACAGGAGACAAATATTGAGCCGCCTCACAACAGGAGACAAATTTTGAGGCGCCTCAAAAGGAGTAGCACTATATATCCTCCATGCGCAGGGCCCAACTGCTGCATTGACATCCGGTGCTGTGCATGATCGCTATAAGATCGCCATGAAGTAAAGAATAGCGATTTTGAGTGGCATGGATGAAAAAGTGCAGCAACACATCTCCGTTTCCCTTCATCTTGAGAAAGAGTGGTGTAGAACTGAAGTCTGAAGCGACTCAGACTTCGTTTGTGGGGTGGGGTGGTGAAGTGGTGGGGTGGTGGTGTGGTGGGGTGGTGGTGTGGTGGGGTGGTGAGGTGGTGGGGTGGTGGGGTGGTGAAGTGGTGAGGTGCTGGGGTTGTGGGGTGGTGAGGTGCATGCCTGTGAATGCGGAGAGAAGGGAGGAGCAGTTGATGCGAGGAGAGGCGCAGGCGGTGGCAACCACCAGCTTGCCCAACGCACTGGTGACAGGAAAGAGATTGGCACATGGAGGGACCCAGATTAAGTGGTCATGGGAGGGTGGCACAGTCACAGCGACAACCAGTCACAGTAGCAACCACCAGCTCGCCCAGGGCACTGGTCACAGGAAAGAGAGTGGCACATGGAGGGGAGCTAGTGGGGTGGCACATGGAGGGTCTAGAGGAAGGGGTGAGATAATAAAAAGGTGCATGAGTGTGGTACAGGAAGTGGGCGGATGCAGTGGCACCCGCCAGCTCGCCCAACGCACTGGTCACAGGAAGGAGAGTGGGAGGCACATGGAGTGGTGGCACGTCGAGTGGTGGCACGTGGGTAGTGGCACGTGGGGTAGTGGGACGTGGGGCAGTGGCACGTGGGGCAGTGGCACGTGGAGGGGCTATGTGGCGTGTTGTAGGTGCAGTGGCGACGAGGAGATGCCCAAACCAATGCGACAGGGAGGTGAGCGATGACATGATCGGACACTTGCGCATTTCAGCGTGCTGTGCTGTGCTGTGCTGTGCGGTGCGGTGCGGTGCTGTGCTGTGCTGTGCTGTGCGGTGCGGTGCGGTGCGGTGCGGTGCCGTGCCGTGCCGTGCGGTGCCGTGCGGTGCGGTGCTGTGCTGTGCTGTGCTGTGCGGTGCGGTGCGGTGCGGTGCGGTGCGGTGCGGTGCGGTGCGGTGCTGTGCTGTGCTGTGCTGTGCTGTGCTGTGCGGTGCGGTGCGGTGCTGTGCTGTGCTGTGCTGTGCTGTGCTGTGCTGTGCTGTGCTGTGCTGTGCTGTGCTGTGCTGTGCTATGCAGTCCCCACAGAACGCACGACCCTCATGGGCAGACTAGGTTGAAGTCACTCTAGTACTCACAGCCCACTCCCCGCAGAAGTTCTCACAGCACTCACTTGTGCAGGCTGAACTCGTGTAGGCGCGTTGCCCTCACCAGCTGGAGGGGATGGGAGAGAGGTGGTGGAGGAGAGGAGAGGGAGAGGCGGAGAGGAGTAGGGGAGGAGGAGGGGAGGGGGTTAGGAGGAGACGAGAGGGGGAGGAGGAGAGGAGAAGGGCTAATGAGGTTGATGTGGAGCAAGACGGTACGTGTAGGAGCTGTCAGACGCAGACAGGTGGGCTGCGGAGGTCTTACTTCCATCAACTCGTATGGTACGTGTATGTCATGTAGGGTAAGAGTGAACGAGCATGAAGTTTGGGGTAAGCTCGTACAAGCATTAGATGCGGGTCGTCCCCTTGTATGCATTAGATGCGGGTCGTAGTTTTGAGACGTCTCAAAACTAAAGTAAGCTCGTACAAGCATTAGATGCGGGTCGTAGTTTTGAGACGTCTCAAAACTAAAGTAAGCTCGTACAAGCATTAGATGCGGGTCGTAGTTTTGAGACGTCTCAAAACTAAAGTAAGCTCGTACAAGCATTAGATGCGGGTCGTCCCCTTGTATGCTCGGGGGAGGTAGAAAAGCGTATACTTTCATTGGATACATGGTGCTTCATTTGCAACAAGCGAGGCCACACGGGAAAAAAAAGAGCGAGGACGAGGCAACGAGAACACATTGTGCTTGAGCGGGGTGAGGAGATTCCCTGGCAGTGAGGTTGATGAGAGGGCAAGACTGCTCACCCGGTCTAGGTCGAGGTGACTTTTGAGTTGACTCAAAAGTCACCTTGAGCGGGGTGAGGAGGTTCCCAGGCAGTGAGGTTGAGAGGGCAAGACTGCTCACCCGGTCTAAGTCGAGCTTGGCTGCCTCGTGAGCGATGGGCGAGGAGAGGTGTGCGAGGGAGGTGACAGGCGCGAGGAGGAAGGCTGCAGCGATGGTGGAAGAGGGAAGGTAGCCTGCAGCGAGGGCTGAGAGGAGGGTGAGGGTGCCCTGAAAGGGAGGGGGTAGGGGAAAACGAAAGAAAGGGGAAGGGGTGAGGAATGGGAGAGGTGTGCGAGGGAGGTGACAGGGGCGAGCAGGAAGGCATCAGCGATGGTGGAAGGGCGGAGGTAGCCTGCAGTGAGGGCCGAGAGGAAGGTGAGCGTGCCCTGATGGGGATGGGGTATGGGGGAAGGGGAAGGGGGGATGGGGGAACGGGAAGGGGGAATGGGGAAAGGGGCAGGGGGGAGTGGGGAGGGGGGAGTGCGGAAGGGGGAGGGAGGAAAGGGGAGGAAGAAGGGTGGAGGAAGAAGGGTGGGAGGGAAGAAGAGAAAAGGAGGTACGGGGAAGGCAGCAGCAATGGTGGCGGGTGGCAGGTGCCCAGATGGGGAAAGGGGAGGGGAGGGGGAAGAACAAGTTGGCCAGCTATGTTGGTGCGACTTTTGAGAATTCTCAAAAGTCGCACCAAGACCAGGTTGCCTTGCCCCTGGGATTTCTCACAAATGACTTCCCGGATGATGGGGGAAAGAAGGGGTTGGGGGGAGTAGGGAGGGGATGGGAAAGACCTACAGGGTCAGCAAGACAGAAAGCAGAGCTTGTGGGGAAGGGAGGACGGCAGGCAGAAGAGGATTCGGGGAGGCGAAGGGGGTGAGGGGTGGGGATGGCACAGGGGAGGCATGGAGCTTCGAGAGGGGAAGGGGTGACGTGTATGGATAGAGCGGGGGATGGGAGGCGAGGGAAGGTAGAGAGGGGAGAGGAATTCGAGGGAGGGGAGTGTGGTGTGAGGAGGCAGATGGAGGGAGGCAGCAGTGGGGGAGCAGGTTGGGAGAGGGAGTGGGGGATGGGGAGGTTGAGGGTACAGGCGAGACAAATAATTCGTCCAAATTGGAGGGGCGAATGCTGCCAAAGGAAGGCGAAGAAGGTGAGGGGGGAAAGAAAGTGTTGGGATGAGGAGAATGAAGAAGAGAGAGGCGAGAACCATGGCGTGAACAACAGCACAGAAGCACAGCAGCACGGGGATTTGAGTCTGAGCAACATGCACTGCACAGTGTGAGCAAGTGGAAGTGAGCAAGGGGGAAGTGAGCAAAACACAACTGCTGAGATGGTACAGGTGAAGCGAGCAACAAGGTTAGCACCTGCGAATGCCCCACATAGAAGACCCGCCTGGCCCCTGTGTGACAGGCTTTCAGAATGTGGTCCATCTGTGCTGGCAGGTCATGTGGCAATGCAAGGGACAAGGGACGCACCTGAGAGTGCCCCACGTTGAACACCTGCCTCGCTCCTGTGTGAGAGGCTTTCAGAATGTGGTTCAACTGTGCTGGCAAGTCGTGGCGTGCCATGTCCGCCCACGTCCACTCCCAGAACTCCTGCACGCATGGAATGAAGGAGGGAGTGCACAGAGTGCCACTGCATGGGCTGAGAGCCAGCTGCGTGACACACATCTGTGCTGGCAGGTCGTGGCGTGCCATGTCCGCCCACGTCCACTCCGAGAACTCCTGCATGGCACAAGGATCCGAAGATGTGCATAGAATGGCGTCGAATGGGATGGCACGGGATTGGATGGGATGGATGACATGGCATGGCATGGCATGGCTGGCAACGGACAAGACATAGAACATGGCACATGGAGTATGACGCTATCCCGATGCACCTTCCGTTCCTCCGTCCTTCTCCTCTCCTCCCTTCCCTTCCTCCGTCCATCCCATTTCTCCAGCCCCTCCCATGCCTCCGTCCCTCCAGTCCCTCCTGACCCCCCCATCTTCCCCCTCCCTTCTCCCCCACCCCCCCCAACACCTTATCCTCGAGCTCTCACCTCGTGTGCCTGCAACTGCTTTTGAGGCGCCTCAAACATTGACCCTCCCATCCTTCCCGTCCCTCACGCCTCTCCTGTCCCTCCTGTCCCTCACGTCTCTCCCATCCCATCCCTCCCGCCCCTCTTGTCTCCCTCCCCCCAGCCCCTTGCCCCCATTGTACCCTTCCTTGGCCTGCCTGCCACCTTGTGTGCCCTTGTAACTCAATGCCCACGTCCGTCCACAGCCCAGGTCGCCAGCTGCCTGCATGTGAATGCTTTGAGCAACGTACACACCACATTGCAACTGATTCTTTAGGCGCCTCAAAAGTTGTCTGCGGCATGCGAGTGCTTCGTAACGTGCAAGTTGTAACTGCGTTGGCATATATCTTCCCCACCGCTATCCTCCCCCTCTTCCCCCCCCCCCCCCCCGCCCCCCCCCCCCCCCCCCCCCCCTCCCCCCACCACTTTCCTCCACCTTATCCTTGGGCTGCCACCTCGTGTGCCCATAGCACCATGGTCCGCACCTCCGGATACCTCCGCATCATGGTCATCATGTTGAGTATCTCAAAGACGACCCTCCCCTCCAGTGGCCCCCTTCCTTCCCACCTTATCCTTTGGCCGAAACAACCTTTCTCTCCCACCCCACCACTCCCCCCCCCGCTTCCCACCTTATCCTTTGGCCGAAACAACCTTTCTCTCCCACCCCACCACTCCCCCCCCCGCTTCCCACCTTATCCTTTGGCCGAAACAACCTTTCTCTCCCACCCCACCACTCCCCCCCCCACTTCCCACCTTATCCTTGGGCTGCCACCTCGTGTGTCCGTAGCTCCACGGTCCACACCTGCTGTTGCCGAGCCACACCTCGAACCCGAGCCTGGCGAGCAGGAACGGCAGGGAGATGCCGGGAGGGCCCACAACCCAGCTCTCGGCTCCCTGGCGTGGGGTGTGGGAGGGGAAGGAAGTAATGGTATGCACTATGCACCTAACTTCTGAGGCGCCTCACATATGGCGCCCTGGCAAGTGACGTGGGTGGGGAGGGAGGTGATGGTTTATGGTGGGTGCAATTTTGGGCGGAAGGGCTCCCGGCATGATCAGCAGACCACTCTTCTTAGGCCACCTATCTTTTGAGACGTCTCAAAAGTCATGATGAACAGACCACTCTTCTTAGGCCACCTATCTCTCACCTCCCTGGCGAGTGGTGGCGGGGGGAAGGGAGGTGATTGGTGGTATATTGGAATGGCGGTATGCACCTATTTCAGCAGCACTTCAAAACAAATTGGATTCGAACATGCGTTGACGTGTGTGTGTTGGAAGGGGGAGGGGGAAGGGGGGGGCGAGAGATGTGTGTGTGTGTGAATGTGTCGTCGGGTGATGAGTGTGATGGAGAGGAGATGTGTGGTGTGGTGATGAGGCGAAGTACAAAGGCACAGTGAGGCCGTGTGAAGTTACCATGTTCAGTTCAGCTACACCTGACTCTATCAGGACGAACCAGAAACAGCCCATGCTGGAGCAGCACCGGACCTCGAGAAATGCCGTTCCCCTTTCCCCCGCTCGTTATATTCACATCAGAGACAGTTCCACTCGAGTCCAGATGGCGACTGGTTACTCGCTGGAGGCCCAGGATGAAGCCGTCCCGTGTTACAACCTGCCACCCATGGACGACAGACAGAACAATTGTGTTAGCCCATCAGTACCGCCTGCCAACGAGGGGCGACGGAGCAACAGTGTAAACCCATCATTACCGTCCCGTGTTACCATCTGCTACCCATCAGGACCGTTCAAAGCTTAACCAGGAATCATGTGAAACCATCACAGGTAAGGGAAATGCACGTGTAGATGGATTTCATTCAGGCGTTCTCAGGCATGACCGACAAAGAATACTTAACAGCAGGCCGGCAGGTGAGAAACTAGATATGCGAAGCCTGACCAAAATAATAGAGGGAATATTCCTCATACGAACAGTCACTGAAACCACGTTTCTGCTGCACGGACCTCTGCATATTTCAATCTATGACAAATAACCCTCTAAAAACTGTCCCTCTCGTTACTCTCACAAGGTTGAGAGAATTTCCTCCTATGAGCGCTCGTTACACTCACACGGTGATCCTCGCACGTGAAGCCATGCGGTTCCACCAACTCGCGGCACACGCGGGAAGCATCATCGCCACCCGTTGAATCTGTGAGCGATTCTGAACGGTCGGGATCTTGAGATGGAGGTCCAGTGACGCGGGAGGAACCGTTATCAACGGTTGATGCTAAAACGCGAAAAGAGTTGCTGCTGGAGACCATTGAGATTGTTGATAGAGCGAGAAGCGAGAGGAGAATAAGCGAGACGAGACGCAGGGTCCGCGGAAGGAGGAAGCGAACGCGAAAAAACTGCGAAACGGTTCTCAGCGAGTGGAAGCAGGAGAGGAGCGCCATGTGTGGTTTCTCAAATTCCTCCACCGCTTTGTGAACTGCGAGAGACTTGGAATGGGGCTGTGCAATGACAAAATTGTACTCGTTATGTCTGATGCGACAACAGCACAAACGGCAACCTGATGGCCGTGATAAACTTCCTTGTTTGAGAGGTTTGAGACGGTATGTAGCCGTTACACTACGGTTCCTGCCACCATACCTAGAGGGGAAAGTATGCCGTTCGTAACCATCATGGGACTCAAAAACATTTTTGGTAAAAAAATAAAGGGTACGGTCACTGCAAAGGGTGTTTTCACGCGACTGATAAAGCGTTTCACGGAATCAGTCACAATCAGCTGGTAAAAAAAAACGCGAATGGTCACAGATGAAACTCCCGCCAAAACAAAATGAAACCCAGAAAGAACCTGGATGCATTTTCGGATGATCAACCCTAAACACGTAACTCGCCAGGTGTTTAGGGTTGATCCGTTCCCAAACCGTATCCGATTCCGATTGGGTTTTAGTTTTTTTACAAGTTCGCAGATTGGCTCGGCGCGAGCGGGAATTTTGTTTAGTTTCATGTTTTTTTGGCGGGAGTTACATGTGTGACCATTCGCGTGATTTTTTACCTGTTGTTAGTGACTGAATCCGTGACCCCGCTTACCAAACCCGTCAGAAAACCCGATACAGTGACCGTACGCGTTTTTTTTTACCATTCACGTTATCGAGTTCCAAGTTGGTTACTTGTGGCATATTTTCCCTACCTAGAGGGATGGATGAAGGCTCTTTACTAGCTTCTCCGGAAACAGATTCAATCAAGGTTCGTGTAGAAGATGAATGAACAACACACTCGAAGCTAGTCGGTATTCTATAGCCTTACTGTTTCCAAAACGCCAAATCTAAAAAGCCTAGGGTTTCAAATCGAAACCGACCAATCAAAAAGCACCATTGCAATATGGCCCCCTGCTGCCCGCCCACTTGCCCATCTCTCTAATCTAGCTGTGAGCATTTCTGCCTCAAGCGAACATTTGTTTCTCCTAACTCGCTCTAGAGTGGCACAATCTCGCTCGAATTACAATTGATAACTGCGTCAATCAAGCTCTCAATATTGACTGATGCTGGCCAATCACTTCGTGCCATCTGTGCAGCCATTAGTGCCATTATTTCCGACTATCCGCCTTTCTGTAGATCCTAACATCTACTGCTAACAGTTTTTTTTTTTGGAAAGTTGAAATTTTGGGAGCTAGGTTATTGCAAAAATGCACTGGGAGAAAATAGAGGTCAAGGTAAAGCGTCAAGAGCCCATCCCAGGCAAATCTCCGGGGAGGAAAGGTGGAAAGCACGGACCAGGGAGGAAATGGGGTCACACGCTAAATGCCGTCAACTATGGTCGTCAGGTGTACGTGTTTGGAGGTTATGGCAAGGACGAGCGGCAGACGAACGACGTCTACGTGTACAACACAAGTACGATCGTCTCGCCGTAATGTCATCTTCCCGTCTAGCTAGCCTCGCGATCTGTTTTGCGTTTGTTTTATCTTCCCGTTCAGGAGAAAAGGGTGCATTGCAATGCGGGAAGGCTCGAGCGTTACGAGATCGTGACAATGCGGGTAGGCGTTTACGAGATCACGACGGTGCGGGAAGGCTGGAGTGTAACGATATGGTTAGGATGCGGGAATGCAGAGGCGTTAACCCGATCGTGACAATGCGGGAAGGCAGGACGCAGAGGTATTACGACAAGATAATGACAATGTGCTTCCTGGCCTTTTCGATGACTTTTTATATTCGTTCATGGCACCGCTCGGCTCGCGCGAGGGTTGAAGGGCTTGCAGACATTTTTCCTTTAGCATGACCGGCGACATTTGCTGTTCCAAGGCCGGCCCATCCTCCCCGTTCGAAACCTCCGTTTTTTCGTGACAGCCGCGGCCGGCTGTTGGCAGCTTGGCTGTCTTTCATGGCCTCTTGGTATTCCCTTGCGTGGAGCAAGCGGAACATTAAGGGCTCGCCGCCGTTGCCTCGCGAGAGTTTTGAGGCGTCTCAACACGCGTCATTCATGCTCGCCATTCCCTCCCGCTCCCTCTCCCCCTATCCCCCATCCCCTTCCCTTTCTGTCATGGACTCGCAGCGAAGGACGCGTGGAGCAAGCCGAACATCAAGGGCACGCCGCCGTCGCCTCGCGACAGCCACACGAGCACGGTGGTGGGCAGCAGGATGTTCGTCTTCGGCGGCACGGATGGGTCGTCGGGACTCAACGACCTCTACATGCTCGACACCTGTGAGTGCCGCTCCTTGGCGACTCCTTGGCGACAATTGCGACGGCTTTGTATGTACAGCCACACAAGCACACCTTGCACTCCCGTGCCTCGGCGTCAAGTGTGGGAGTCGTCGAGGCCAAAGGCTTGGAAGTTGAAATGCCAAGGGGCAAGTCAAACAAAGGGCAATGTCAAGGGCGGGTGGTCTTGCGTCACTTTGAATCCTTTTCTGCCGCAAACTCGTTTTATGCACAGCATTTTCGCCCTTAATGCACTTACATTACACCTGATCTGACGCCATACTGGTGCAAACCCTCTCATCTCATCGCGCAGGTCTGTCCTTCACTTAAATCTGCAACCCTGTTCCTCTTTCCTTCATGCACCCGCCTCCCTTTTTTCATGTCCCCCCCTTTTCGCCCCCTCCGCTCCCTCCCGCGCTCTCTCCCTCCCCCGCTCGTTCCCCGCAGCAACCAACACGTGGACGCGGCTGGCGGCGCAGGGGGACGTGCCAGCAGTGCGCGAGGGGCCTCAAGATTTCTCACCACTCTCTCCCCCTTTCCCCGTTCTCCCCCACCCCCCTCTCCTGCAGCAACCAACACGTGGACGCGGCTGGCGGCGCAGGGGGACGTCCCAGCAGCGCGCGAGGGGCATGCAGCAGCGCGGGTGGAGGGGCTGGTGTACGTGTTTGGCGGGTGTGGCAAGGCGGGCGAGGGGGGGACGGTGGACGAAACGTACTACAACGACGTTCATGCGTTCAACCCTGGTAAGGAGGCGATTGAGCACGGCTGATGGGTGTATGGGGCAGCGCGGCCGCACACAAGGGGCATGCAGCAGCGCGGATGGAGGGGCTGGTGTACGTGTTTGGCGGGTGTGGCAAGGCGGGCGAGGGGGGGACGGTGGATGAGACGTATTACAACGACGTTCATGTGTTCAACCCTGGTGAGTGCGGGTCAGGGTCAGCACGGCTGATAGCCTGATAGGGCGGCTGGGGAACGCAGCCGCGCTGGTGGAGGGGGTAGCGTCATTGGTGTGACTACAGCATGCATGCATGTATCGTGTTTGAGGCTTGAGTGTAAGACTTATCAACGCTAGTTTTTCTCTCCATATGCTGGTGGGAGTTTCTTCGGGCGTTTTCTAACATGGGTTTGTGCGTGTGTTTGTCTGTGCATTTGGGTGCGTGTGTTTCGCATGTGTGCGGTGCAGACACAATGCGGTGGGCGAGGGTGGCGACAACAGGCACGGCGCCATCACCCAGGGACAGCCACAGCTGCTGCGCGTGGGGCAACCAGCTGATTGTGTTTGGCGGGGAGGACTCGCGCAACTGCTACCTCAGTGACGTCTTTGTGCTAGACACCAGTGAGTGGATTGAGGGAGTGGTTCTGACTAATACCAGGGAGTCTTTGTCCTCCTTGACACGACACCACTGAGTGTTCTGTTGGTCGGCCCTTGAGTGGAAGTATGCCAACGAATGAGTGTTGGCCTTTGACACCGAAGTTCATTCTTGTGCCTTCGCCCTTTCCGCACTGTCTTCCAGGCTCGCTGATGTGGAGGGAGGTGAGGGCGAGGGGGCAGAAGCCCCTGCCGCGAGCAGGGCATGTGGCGGTGACAGCAGGGCGCTACATGGTGGTGTTTGGGGGCTTCACGGATGAGCGCCGCCTCTTCAACGACCTGCATGTGCTCGACCTCTGTATGCCTGCCTGCTCGCTTGCTTTCTTGCTGCTTTTTCCGCTCGCTTGCTTGTATGCTTGCTCTGCTTCACACTTCTCAGCAATACACTACACTCCGTCGTACAAGTTTATCTCGCTCAGCTGTTTCTGATTCACAACAACTCCCCTTCACCCGCCACTTCCGTCTCTTATGTATCTTGCATGGCCTCTTTAAGACGTCTCTAACCCGCTCTCCCATCGCATTACTGGCTTGTGACTCTGCTACGTGTCCCACCTACCTTGCCCCATCCAGCATCGGAGCACTGGCAGCAGTACACACCCACAGGGGACGTGCCTTCGCGCCGCTTCTCCCTGTCAGCCGACCTGCTGGACACAGTATCGGGCAAGATGATGCTCTTTGGGGGCTGCAATGACGACTTAGAAGCTCTGGAAGATGCCTACTTCCTGCATACAGGTACGGGCTGCTCACAGGTGTGGTATAGCATACACATGGGTAAGATGTTGTTGCTGGGAGCTGACCTGCTGGACACAGTATCGGGCAAGATGATGCTCTTTGGGGGCTGCAATGACGACTTAGAAGCTCTGGAAGATGCCTACTTCCTGCATACAGGTACGGGCTGCTCACAGGTGTGGTACAGCATACACATGGGTAAGATGTTGTTGCTGGGAGCTGACCTGCTGGACACAGTATCGGGCAAAATGATGCTCTTCGGGGGCTGCGACAACGATTTGGAGGCTCTAGAAGATGCCTACTTCCTGCACACAGGTGAGATGCATCAGCATATACACAAGGACGCGTGTGCTCAGTGCCAACCTGCTGGACACGGTGTCGGGCAAGATGATGCTCTTTGGGGGCTGCAATGACGATTTGGATGCACTAGAAAATGCATATCTCTCCCGCACAGGTATGGCTTGCACACAGGCATAAGGACGGCGCGAACGCTTCCTCTCAACTCTCACATGGTGGCCTGCCTCCCTCCCTCCCTTTGCGCCCCCTACTCTTTCTCCCCCATCCTCCCCCCGCTGCCCAGTTTTCGGGTCGCATGCAGTGGAGTTTCCCCGGCCACGCGTGCGGCGAAGGTCCTTCGACTCGATGCCCATGCCCATGGATGCACGCATGGGCATGGATGCTGGCGTGGGCATGGGGGGAGGGGCCACGCCCATGGGCATGCGCGGCAAAAGGGGGGAGAGTGGAGAGGGCGCGTGGAGGTGGGGCGCGGAGGGTGTGTATGAGGCTGGCGGCATGGATGAGGATGATGATGGGTATCGACCCCCTGCCAGACGCATGCGAGGTATGAGATGGGATGGGATGGGATGGGATGGGATGGGATGGGATGGGATGGGATGGGATGGGATGGGATGGGATGGGATGGGATGGGATGGGATGGTATGGGATGGGATGGGATGGTATGGGATGGGATGGGATGGGATGGGATGGGATGGGATTGGATGGGATGGGATGTCCCACCACATGTCCTCTCTTTCCCCCACCACATGTCCTCTCTTTCCCCCACCACATGTCCTCTCTTTCCCCCACATCCTGTCTCCATGTTCCTCCCTTCCAGTCCCACAAGTCTCACCAGCCTTGCCGCCCGGGCTGCACCCAGCGGACCTGATAGCGCCAGCGGGCAGGGAGGTGCCGTTTGAGGCGCAGATCGTCGATGTCTTCCACCTTGGCTACTGCCTGCGCGCCACTGTGGCCGGCCGCCCCCTGCACGGGCTGCTCTTCTCCTACGACCCTTCTTTTGCCCAGGCTGCCTTTGCCCGCCAGGCGCAGTAAGTAACACGTCTCTCTTGTGATAGCAGGGTAGCGGCATAGCGGGGGATAGCGGGGTTGGTGCTACTCCTCTCGTTTTCCCCCTCCGCTACTGCCGTCGTGGTTGCCCCCTGCATGGGCTGACGACCATTCCTTTGCTCAAGCTGCTCTGGCTTGACAAGCCCAGTGAGTGATGTGTCTAACCCTTCCCTCTCAACGCCTCACCTCCCATCCTTCCCCCACTCACTCCCTCCTCGTCTCGTCCTCGATCCCCACCCCCTCAATCCCCAGCCCCTCTCCCCATCTCACCCCCCCCCTGCCCGCTTCCTCTCCCCTTCCCCCCCCCCCCCCCCCCGAGCCCAAAAGGCAAGCAGGTACACAGTCCTCCCGCCTACCCCCGCTTCTTCCACCGCAAATCATCCTTCCCTTACCACCACCCCTCACCCACCCTACTTCCTCTCAAACCTTTCTTCTCACCCATTCCACCCCCCCCGAGAACAGAAGGCAAGCAGGCACACGGTCCTCCCGCCAGCCCCTGCCGCCTCCACCGCATCTCACCTTCTCTCTGGAATCCGGCACCCACACCATCACCGTTCCCGACCCCCACCGCCGGAGAACTTCTGCTGCTGCAGCAGCCACCGCCGCCGCTGCCAGTGCCACAGCTGCTGGTGCTAATACTGCTGCAGCGGGTGGTGCTGTTGGTGGGGCAGTGGGTGATGGTGCACTGACTGTGGTTACATCTCACGACGGAACTGTGACAGGCACGGTTACATCTCCGGCTGTAACACCGCCGACAGCAGCTACTGTGTCACCAGCTGATGAGGGGTCAAGAGGAGGAGCGGCAGCAGGAGGAGTAGGGGAAGTAGTGGCAACAAGGGGAGATGTAGCAGGGGGAGGTGGTGCTGGGGTGGCTGCAGGGGCTTCGAGAGAAGCAGTGGCTACTGCTATACCAGCACGAGTGGCATCAACACCGGCAGCACCTGCAGCAACAGCAACAGCAGCTTTAGCAGAAGCAGTGGGAGCAGAGATGCCACCACCGGCAGCTGCTGCAACAGTGGGAAATGGTGGTGCAGGAGCTCACAACTCTCAGCAGAATAATGTTGTGGTGGTGGCGCAAGGGCCAGAGGATGGTCCGGCAGGGAATCAAGGGCACATGGAAAGTGGGGGTCAAGGTGGTGCCGGAAAAGTACAAGCGATGGCTAATGGAGGGTTAGCTAGGATGGATATTGATGTAGGTGGCGAAGCGGGCGAGGGTAAGGAAGAGGAGGAAGATGTGGATATAGTCTAAGCTAGATGTGCTGTAAGCCTTTGTATTCTGTGTTGAAATGTAATAGTAAATCTGGTTTTCATCAGACTGATGTTTTGACGCGATGTTACGAAATAGGCTCTGGGCCGTGAATCTGTCTTGCAATGTGATTCGACAATCTTGAAGCAAATATCGCGCCACGTCAGCCCTTACGTCAACCATGACCACCACCAGAGAGTTCCTACATGCGAATCCTGACGAAAACTCTCCTAGAAGAAAATGTGACTCTCGCCAAACCAGCAAGAGGAGTCCTTGAAGTTTCGTGAAGGTCTAGTTACCGTGATGATCCCGTCCGTTTCGCACGGCTTGTATGTTCCCAAGAATGTGGGATAGCCCAGATGGACACGCACACACCTTCTCTTCCGCCCTTCTACGTGTGGAACATTTCCGACCATCAAGCAGCCCGTCAGAATCCCGTTCGCTGATGGTACAACCGCCATGTCTAGGAATTGCCGAGCAGATGCGCAGCAGCTGCTCGTGTTCAGTGATGGTGACTAGAGCATCTTAGTGGGTTCGTATCTTATTTTGATTATGGGACATAAACCGTAAGACGACACGGCAATTTCCTCCGTCATTATAATCTGCCACGCTTTCCTCTGGAGAGACAAGGCGGATGAAGTTCAGGAGCTGACTGGAATTTCATTTTCATGTCTTTCTCATCTCCCTCAAGTGCTCATACATATAAACAAGACCTGATTTTAGGCTCATAAGGACCTGCCATTATTCAACTCAAACAAAGCCTGTTACCAGTCTGTATAGCAGCTTCGGGTATCAAAAAGTGCGGCATGCGCGTCACACCTTCCCTTACTGCTTCGCGCTCAAGCATGTCAGCTGCAACCTCAGCGCCGCTCCGCGCGTTCACCACACCGCACCGAACCGTACCGCTTTGCCGGCTTCCGTCGATTCCTCCGTCCCTCGGAAATGGACTGTGCGGCTGTCCGCGCGCTGCGCTCCGCCAGTCACAGCAGCAGTCTTCGCCCCAACCGAAACGAAGTTTCCGCCAGTCGCGAGGGCTTTCACCGAGCATTCGTCGAAATGGGTTATTTCCTGCACTCCCCTTTGCTCAGAAGGTTCAAAGATTAGGTGAGGAGGGGGGATCCGGAGCGATTCGTCACCGAACAGTACGTAGGAATGTCGCGGTTAGAGCCAAATCGCAGGGTAGTGACAATTCTGCTTCAAACGAGTCGGCTTCTAGCGAATCTGCTTCCACTGGTGCTAGCCGAGCCAACGATGCTCCGCAAGTCCCGGGAAGGAGTCCCGGTTCGCCGAATCCGGCACCTAGATCCCGGCCGTCCGATTTGGACATCCCGTTCGATCCTGCGGTCGACGCAATGATTGCATCGGAGATGGCGGGGAGGAAGAGCAACGACCCACCTCCACCAGCAGAAAATGAGGTAACTGTAATCGGAGTTATGAGAAATGAAATTATAGTAATTAGCACGCACTTGAGCCACACAAGGATGGTCATAATCACGTACAGTATTGAGCTTCGGAACCAGGCTCACCCCTCACGATTCCATTATCTGCCACGTGTTGCGTCCACCAATCGCAGAGACAAGCCACTCAGCTGGGCACGCTGCTGAAGCAGTTCGTCCGCGTGGCGGCACCCTATTGGTCGTCGGAGGACAAGAACCAGGCGCGGCTGCGACTGGCGGCGGTGCTTGTCTTCGCGCTGGGCTGCACTGGCGTCTCCGTGCTTTTCAACTTCTTATACAGGGACTTCTACAACGCTATAGCGAGTATGTGCTCTTCAAATTCCTTATACCGAGACCTTCTTGCGGCTGCTCTTCTGGTTTGCTTGACCCCTTCCCCACCCTCTCCATTTTTATTGCCTTGTCCTTATCCCCCACACCACCGGTGCCCCTTCGTTTCTCCCTCCGAATCCCACCAGGCAAGGACGAGGAGGCCTCTCAGAGGCAGCGCTTGTGGTTTCTTCTGCGTCCCTCGCGTTTGCTCGTCCCCCACCTCCGTCCCTCATGATGCCTCGTCCCTTTCTCCCCCACCCCACCAGGCAAGGACGAGGAGGCATTCGTGCAGCAGCTCTTGTGGTTTCTCGGCGCCACTGTGGGAGGCGTGCCGGTAGGTGGTGGGATGAAGGGAGGTGCGCCAGCAGGTGGGATAAGGGAGTGTGCCGGTAGGTGCAGCAAGGGGTTGTGCCGGTAGGTGCAGGAGGGTGACAATAGGTGAAATAAAAGAGGGTGTTGTGTGGTGGTAGGTAGATTATTGGGGAGGGGGGGGGCAGTGGGTGGTGCAAGGGGGTGTGGCTGTGTGTGGAACAAGACGAGTGTGGGTTTGTGTGGAACAAGACGAGTGTGGGTGTGTGTGGAACAAGACGAGTGTGGGTGTGTGTGGAACAAGACGAGTGTGGGTGTGTGTGGAACAAGACGAGTGTGGGTGTGTGTGGAATAAGACGAGAAAGAACGATGGAGGGGTGATCGAGAGAAAGAACGATGGAGGGGTGATCGAGCGAAAGAACGATGGAGGGGTGATCGAGAGAAAGAACGATGGAGGGGTGATCGAGAGAAAGAACGATGGAGGGGTGATCGAGAGAAAGAGCGATGGAGGGGTGATCGAGAGAAAGAGCGATGGAGGGGTGATCGAGAGAAAGAACGATGGAGGGGTGATCGAGAGAAAGAACGATGGAGGGGTGATCGAGAGAAAGAGCGATGGAGGGGTGATCGAGAGAAAGAACAATGGAGGGGTGATCGAGAGAAAGAGCGATGGAGGGGTGATCGAGAGAAAGAGCGATGGAGGGGTGATCGAGAGAAAGAACGATGGAGGGGTGATCGAGAGAAAGAACGATGGAGGGGTGATCGAGAGAAAGAACGATGGAGGGGTGATCGAGAGAAAGAACGATGGAGGGGTGATCGAGAGAAAGAACGATGGAGGGGTGATCGAGAGAAAGAACGATGGAGGGGTGATCGAGAGAAAGAACGATGGAGGGGTGATCGAAAGAAAGAACGATGGAGGGGTGATCGAGAGAAAGAGCGATGGAGGGGTGATCGAGAGAAAGAGCGATGGAGGGGTGATCGAGAGAAAGAACGATGGAGGGGTGATCGAGAGAAAGAGCGATGGAGGGGTGATCGAGAGAAAGAGCGATGGAGGGGTGATCGAGAGAAAGAGCGATGGAGGGGTGATCGAGAGAAAGAACGATGGAGGGGTGATCGAGAGAAAGAACGATGAAGGGGTGATCGAGAGAAAGAACGATGGAGGGGTGATCGAGAGAAAGAACGATGGAGGGGTGATCGAGAGAAAGAACGATGGAGGGGTGATCGAGAGAAAGAACGATGGAGGGGTGATCGAGAGAAAGAACGATGGAGGGGTGATCGAGAGAAAGAACGATGGAGGGGTGATCGAGAGAAAGAACAATGGAGGGGTGATCGAGAGAAAGAACAATGGAGGGATGATCGAGAGAAAGAACGATGGAGGGGTGATCGAGAGAAAGAACGATGGAGGGGTGATCGAGAGAAAGAACGATGGAGGGGTGATCGAGAGAAAGAACGATGGAGGGGTGATCGAGAGAAAGAACGATGGAGGGGTGATCGAGAGAAAGAACGATGGAGGGGTGATCGAGAGAAAGAACGATGGAGGGGTGATCGAGAGAAAGAACGATGGAGGGGTGATCGAGAGAAAGAACGATGGAGGGGTGATCGAGAGAAAGAACGATGGAGGGGTGATCGAGAGAAAGAACGATGGAGGGGTGATCGAGAGAAAGAACGATGGAGGGGTGATCGAGAGAAAGAACGATGGAGGGGTGATCGAGAGAAAGAACGATGGAGGGGTGATCGAGAGAAAGAACGATGGAGGGGTGATCGAGAGAAAGAACGATGGAGGGGTGATCGAGAGAAAGAACGATGGAGGGGTGATCGAGAGAAAGAACGATGGAGGGGTGATCGAGAGAAAGAACGATGGAGGGGTGATCGAGAGAAAGAACGATGGAGGGGTGATCGAGAGAAAGAACGATGGAGGGGTGATCGAGAGAAAGAACGATGGAGGGGTGATCGAGAGAAAGAACGATGGAGGGGTGATCGAGAGAAAGAACGATGGAGGGGTGATCGAGAGAAAGAACGATGGAGGGGTGATCGAGAGAAAGAACGATGGAGGGGTGATCGAGAGAAAGAACGATGGAGGGGTGATCGAGAGAAAGAACGATGGAGGGGTGATCGAGAGAAAGAACGATGGAGGGGTGATCGAGAGAAAGAACGATGGAGGGGTGATCGAGAGAAAGAACGATGGAGGGAGTGTGTTCAGGGGCTGTCTGAGAGGCACCTTCTTGCTGCTCTGCCAAGCCAAGCACGCACCCTCCATGTCACACCGCCCATTGCTTTCCACAAGGCACCGAACACCCCGTCTCGTGCACCAATGCACATCCGTTGTGCATCCACCCTCCCTTTCTCTCCTTCCATCCACCACTCCTCCTATTCCCCCGGCTCCTCTCCCCCCCCCCCAACAACCTTCTCGCAGGTGTTTGAGGTCCAAGACTGCGTACCTGCTCTGGCCAGCACACGTGCCACGTGTCACACCATGCTGTGCCTTCCACCACTCCCCTCCTGCTCCCTTCCGTAACCCCTCACTCTCCCTCCCCCTCCCCCTGTTTTCCCCTCCATTCTTCCCCAGGTGTTTGTGTTTCGGGACTACCTGCGAGACACGCTGGCACTGCGGTGGCGGGCGTGGATGACAACTGATCTGCTCAATAAGTACTTTCAGCATCGCACCTTCTATAACATCCAGTCGCAGGTGCATGCTTGCACCTATACGTGGTTACAGTCACAGCTGGTTACAGTCACAGCTGGTTACAGTCACAGTGGGTTGCAGTCACATCATGTTACTGGTACTACGTTTGTTGCCCAGTACCAATAACGCGCGCCAATTGCTTACTATCCATGCCAGTTGGTTCGTGTGGCCTTCCCTTCCAATCCTCCTTCCCTTCCAATCCTCCTTCACTTACAATCCTCCTTCCCTTCCAATCCTCCTTCCGTTCCAACCCTCTTTGCATTGCAACCCCTCCCTTTTCCCCCTCCCTACCTCTCCCCCTCCGTCTCCCTTTTTTCCCCTCTCTACTTTTCCCCTTCTCCCCTACTCCATCTCTCCCCGTCTCCTCTTTATGTCTCCTTGTCTCCTCGTCCCCTCTTCCCCTCCACCTCCAGTCGCTAATAGACAACCCAGATCAGCGAATCAACGAGGACGTGGACGATTTTCACCACCACCTCGCTCACCTTCTCCCTCCATCCCCTCTTTTGTCACTCTCCCCTTTTCAAATTGTCTCACAGTCGCTAATAGACAATCCCGATCAGCGCATTAATGAGGACGTGGACGACTTCACCACCACCTCGCTCACCTTCTCCCTCGCACTCGTGAACGCCATCGTCGATCTCATCTCCTTCTCCGGCATCCTCTACTCCATCTACCCGCCGCTCTTCGCTGTTCTACTGGCATACTCCCTCGGCGGCACGGCCATCAGTGTGTACCTAGGCAGGGTGAGTGCTGCTTCGTATGGTGAGTGGCATGGCAGCAAAAGGGACAGCTTGTCAACGCCATCGTGGATCTCATCTCCTTCTCCGGCATCCTCTACTCCATCTACCCGCCGCTCTTCGCTGTTCTACTGGCGTACTCCCTCGGAGGGACTGCCATAAGTATGTACCTGGGAAGGGTGAGTGCTGCTGCTAGGTTCTGCTAGGTGCTGCTAGGTGGTGCTGCCTAGACGGTGGGTAGTGGATCTCATCTCCTTCTCCGGCATCCTCTACTCCATCTACTCGCCGCTCTTCGCCGTGCTGCTCGCCTATTCTCTAGGAGGGACAGCCATCAGCGTGTATTTAGGCAGGGTGAGTGAGTGCCACTGGGTGGGTTTTGATAGGTGTGCTCGTCAATGCACTGGTCGATCTCATTTCCTTCTCAGGCATCCTCTACTCCATCTACCCGCCGCTCTTCGCTGTTCTACTGGCATACTCCCTCGGCGGCATGGCAATCAGTGTGTACCTGGGAAGGGTGAGTGCTGCTGCTAGGTTCTGCTAGGTGCTGCTAGGTGGTGCTAGGTGGTGCTGCCTAGGCAGTGAGTAGTGGATCTCATGTCCTTCTCTGGCATCCTCTACTCCATCTACCCGCCGCTCTTCGCCATGTTGATCGGCTACTTCTTGGGGGGATAATGAATACAGCCATTAGCGTGTACCTCGGCAGGGTGAGTGTACTGATTTTGTGTGCTGTTATCGTACAGAGAGTGTACCTCTTCTCGCTCAGGAGCTAGTGGGCCTGAATTCTCTGCAGGAAAAAAAAGGTGAACACTTTCTTGCCTGGAACCGCGCCGCACCCTTTCAAACCCTGCCTCTCTCCTTTCCCTTCCTCTCCACAGGAGCTGCCATCTGGTGCGGCTTAAACTCCTGCAGGGAAGAAGGACATGGGCTTCCTGTTTCTTAGATCCCGTCCTTACCTAAGAAATTATACCCTATCCCGTCCTTACCAAAGAAATTATACCCTATCCCGTCCTTACCAAAGAAATTATACCCTATCCCGTCCTTACCAAAGAAATTATACCCTATCCCGTCCTTACCAAAGAAATTATACCCTATCCCGTCCTTACCTAAGAAATTATACCCTATCCCGTCCTTACCAAAGAAATTATACCCTATCCCGTCCTTACCAAAGAAATTATACCCTATCCCGTCCTTACCAAAGAAATTATACCCTATCCCGTCCTTACCAAAGAAATTATACCCTATCCCGTCCTTACCAAAGAAATTATACCCTATCCCGTCCTTACCAAAGAAATTATACCCTATCCCGTCCTTACCAAAGAAATTATACCCTATCCCGTCCTTACCTAAGAAATTATACCCTATCCCGTCCTTACCAAAGAAATTATACCCTATCCCGTCCTTACCAAAGAAATTATACCCTATCCCGTCCTTACCAAAGAAATTATACCCTATCCCGTCCTTACCAAAGAAATTATACCCTATCCCGTCCTTACCAAAGAAATTATACCCTATCCCGTCCTTACCAAAGAAATTATACCCTATCCCGTCCTTACCTAAGAAATTATACCCTATCCCGTCCTTACCAAAGAAATTATACCCTATCCCGTCCTTACCTAAGAAATTATACCCTATCCCGTCCTTACCAAAGAAATTATACCCTATCCCGTCCTTACCAAAGAAATTATACCCTATCCCGTCCTTACCTAAGAAATTATACCCTATCCCGTCCTTACCAAAGAAATTATACCCTATCCCGTCCTTACCAAAGAAATTATACCCTATCCCGTCCTTACCAAAGAAATTATACCCTATCCCGTCCTTACCAAAGAAATTATACCCTATCCCGTCCTTACCAAAGAAATTATACCCTATCCCGTCCTTACCAAAGAAATTATACCCTATCCCGTCCTTACCTAAGAAATTATACCCTATCCCGTCCTTACCAAAGAAATTATACCCTATCCCGTCCTTACCAAAGAAATTATACCCTATCCCGTCCTTACCAAAGAAATTATACCCTATCCCGTCCTTACCAAAGAAATTATACCCTATCCCGTCCTTACCAAAGAAATTATACCCTATCCCGTCCTTACCAAAGAAATTATACCCTATCCCGTCCTTACCTAAGAAATTATACCCTATCCCGTCCTTACCAAAGAAATTATACCCTATCCCGTCCTTACCAAAGAAATTATACCCTATCCCGTCCTTACCAAAGAAATTATACCCTATCCCGTCCTTACCAAAGAAATTATACCCTATCCCGTCCTTACCAAAGAAATTATACCCTATCCCGTCCTTACCAAAGAAATTATACCCTATCCCGTCCTTACCTAAGAAATTATACCCTATCCCGTCCTTACCAAAGAAATTATACCCTATCCCGTCCTTACCAAAGAAATTATACCCTATCCCGTCCTTACCAAAGAAATTATACCCTATCCCGTCCTTACCAAAGAAATTATACCCTATCCCGTCCTTACCAAAGAAATTATACCCTATCCCGTCCTTACCTAAGAAATTATACCCTATCCCGTCCTTACCAAAGAAATTATACCCTATCCCGTCCTTACCAAAGAAATTATACCCTATCCCGTCCTTACCAAAGAAATTATACCCTATCCCGTCCTTACCAAAGAAATTATACCCTATCCCGTCCTTACCAAAGAAATTATACCCTATCCCGTCCTTACCAAAGAAATTATACCCTATCCCGTCCTTACCAAAGAAATTATACCCTATCCCGTCCTTACCTAAGAAATTATACCCTATCCCGTCCTTACCAAAGAAATTATACCCTATCCCGTCCTTACCAAAGAAATTATACCCTATCCCGTCCTTACCAAAGAAATTATACCCTATCCCGTCCTTACCAAAGAAATTATACCCTATCCCGTCCTTACCAAAGAAATTATACCCTATCCCGTCCTTACCAAAGAAATTATACCCTATCCCGTCCTTACCAAAGAAATTATACCCTATCCCGTCCTTACCTAAGAAATTATACCCTATCCCGTCCTTACCAAAGAAATTATACCCTATCCCGTCCTTACCAAAGAAATTATACCCTATCCCGTCCTTACCAAAGAAATTATACCCTATCCCGTCCTTACCAAAGAAATTATACCCTATCCCGTCCTTACCAAAGAAATTATACCCTATCCCGTCCTTACCAAAGAAATTATACCCTATCCCGTCCTTACCTAAGAAATTATACCCTATCCCGTCCTTACCAAAGAAATTATACCCTATCCCGTCCTTACCTAAGAAATTATACCCTATCCCGTCCTTACCAAAGAAATTATACCCTATCCCGTCCTTACCAAAGAAATTATACCCTATCCCGTCCTTACCTAAGAAATTATACCCTATCCCGTCCTTACCAAAGAAATTATACCCTATCCCGTCCTTACCAAAGAAATTATACCCTATCCCGTCCTTACCAAAGAAATTATACCCTATCCCGTCCTTACCAAAGAAATTATACCCTATCCCGTCCTTACCAAAGAAATTATACCCTATCCCGTCCTTACCAAAGAAATTATACCCTATCCCGTCCTTACCTAAGAAATTATACCCTATCCCGTCCTTACCAAAGAAATTATACCCTATCCCGTCCTTACCAAAGAAATTATACCCTATCCCGTCCTTACCAAAGAAATTATACCCTATCCCGTCCTTACCAAAGAAATTATACCCTATCCCGTCCTTACCAAAGAAATTATACCCTATCCCGTCCTTACCAAAGAAATTATACCCTATCCCGTCCTTACCTAAGAAATTATACCCTATCCCGTCCTTACCAAAGAAATTATACCCTATCCCGTCCTTACCAAAGAAATTATACCCTATCCCGTCCTTACCAAAGAAATTATACCCTATCCCGTCCTTACCAAAGAAATTATACCCTATCCCGTCCTTACCTAAGAAATTATACCCTATCCCGTCCTTACCAAAGAAATTATACCCTATCCCGTCCTTACCAAAGAAATTATACCCTATCCCGTCCTTACCAAAGAAATTATACCCTATCCCGTCCTTACCAAAGAAATTATACCCTATCCCGTCCTTACCAAAGAAATTATACCCTATCCCGTCCTTACCAAAGAAATTATACCCTATCCCGTCCTTACCAAAGAAATTATACCCTATCCCGTCCTTACCAAAGAAATTATACCCTATCCCGTCCTTACCTAAGAAATTATACCCTATCCCGTCCTTACCAAAGAAATTATACCCTATCCCGTCCTTACCTAAGAAATTATACCCTATCCCGTCCTTACCAAAGAAATTATACCCTATCCCGTCCTTACCAAAGAAATTATACCCTATCCCGTCCTTACCTAAGAAATTATACCCTATCCCGTCCTTACCAAAGAAATTATACCCTATCCCGTCCTTACCAAAGAAATTATACCCTATCCCGTCCTTACCAAAGAAATTATACCCTATCCCGTCCTTACCAAAGAAATTATACCCTATCCCGTCCTTACCTAAGAAATTATACCCTATCCCGTCCTTACCAAAGAAATTATACCCTATCCCGTCCTTACCAAAGAAATTATACCCTATCCCGTCCTTACCAAAGAAATTATACCCTATCCCGTCCTTACCAAAGAAATTATACCCTATCCCGTCCTTACCAAAGAAATTATACCCTATCCCGTCCTTACCAAAGAAATTATACCCTATCCCGTCCTTACCTAAGAAATTATACCCTATCCCGTCCTTACCAAAGAAATTATACCCTATCCCGTCCTTACCAAAGAAATTATACCCTATCCCGTCCTTACCAAAGAAATTATACCCTATCCCGTCCTTACCAAAGAAATTATACCCTATCCCGTCCTTACCTAAGAAATTATACCCTATCCCGTCCTTACCAAAGAAATTATACCCTATCCCGTCCTTACCAAAGAAATTATACCCTATCCCGTCCTTACCAAAGAAATTATACCCTATCCCGTCCTTACCAAAGAAATTATACCCTATCCCGTCCTTACCTAAGAAATTATACCCTATCCCGTCCTTACCAAAGAAATTATACCCTATCCCGTCCTTACCAAAGAAATTATACCCTATCCCGTCCTTACCAAAGAAATTATACCCTATCCCGTCCTTACCAAAGAAATTATACCCTATCCCGTCCTTACCAAAGAAATTATACCCTATCCCGTCCTTACCAAAGAAATTATACCCTATCCCGTCCTTACCTAAGAAATTATACCCTATCCCGTCCTTACCAAAGAAATTATACCCTATCCCGTCCTTACCTAAGAAATTATACCCTATCCCGTCCTTACCAAAGAAATTATACCCTATCCCGTCCTTACCAAAGAAATTATACCCTATCCCGTCCTTACCAAAGAAATTATACCCTATCCCGTCCTTACCAAAGAAATTATACCCTATCCCGTCCTTACCTAAGAAATTATACCCTATCCCGTCCTTACCAAAGAAATTATACCCTATCCCGTCCTTACCAGAGAAATTATACCCTATCCCGTCCTTACCAAAGAAATTATACCCTATCCCGTCCTTACCAAAGAAATTATACCCTATCCCGTCCTTACCTAAGAAATTATACCCTATCCCGTCCTTACCAAAGAAATTATACCCTATCCCGTCCTTACCAAAGAAATTATACCCTATCCCGTCCTTACCAAAGAAATTATACCCTATCCCGTCCTTACCAAAGAAATTATACCCTATCCCGTCCTTACCTAAGAAATTATACCCTATCCCGTCCTTACCAAAGAAATTATACCCTATCCCGTCCTTACCAAAGAAATTATACCCTATCCCGTCCTTACCAAAGAAATTATACCCTATCCCGTCCTTACCTAAGAAATTATACCCTATCCCGTCCTTACCAAAGAAATTATACCCTATCCCGTCCTTACCAAAGAAATTATACCCTATCCCGTCCTTACCAAAGAAATTATACCCTATCCCGTCCTTACCAAAGAAATTATACCCTATCCCGTCCTTACCAAAGAAATTATACCCTATCCCGTCCTTACCAAAGAAATTATACCCTATCCCGTCCTTACCAAAGAAATTATACCCTATCCCGTCCTTACCAAAGAAATTATACCCTATCCCGTCCTTACCAAAGAAATTATACCCTATCCCGTCCTTACCTAAGAAATTATACCCTATCCCGTCCTTACCAAAGAAATTATACCCTATCCCGTCCTTACCTAAGAAATTATACCCTATCCCGTCCTTACCAAAGAAATTATACCCTATCCCGTCCTTACCAGAGAAATTATACCCTATCCCGTCCTTACCAAAGAAATTATACCCTATCCCGTCCTTACCAAAGAAATTATACCCTATCCCGTCCTTACCTAAGAAATTATACCCTATCCCGTCCTTACCAAAGAAATTATACCCTATCCCGTCCTTACCAAAGAAATTATACCCTATCCCGTCCTTACCAAAGAAATTATACCCTATCCCGTCCTTACCAAAGAAATTATACCCTATCCCGTCCTTACCTAAGAAATTATACCCTATCCCGTCCTTACCAAAGAAATTATACCCTATCCCGTCCTTACCAAAGAAATTATACCCTATCCCGTCCTTACCAAAGAAATTATACCCTATCCCGTCCTTACCTAAGAAATTATACCCTATCCCGTCCTTACCAAAGAAATTATACCCTATCCCGTCCTTACCAAAGAAATTATACCCTATCCCGTCCTTACCAAAGAAATTATACCCTATCCCGTCCTTACCAAAGAAATTATACCCTATCCCGTCCTTACCTAAGAAATTATACCCTATCCCGTCCTTACCAAAGAAATTATACCCTATCCCGTCCTTACCAGAGAAATTATACCCTATCCCGTCCTTACCAAAGAAATTATACCCTATCCCGTCCTTACCAAAGAAATTATACCCTATCCCGTCCTTACCTAAGAAATTATACCCTATCCCGTCCTTACCAAAGAAATTATACCCTATCCCGTCCTTACCAAAGAAATTATACCCTATCCCGTCCTTACCAAAGAAATTATACCCTATCCCGTCCTTACCAAAGAAATTATACCCTATCCCGTCCTTACCTAAGAAATTATACCCTATCCCGTCCTTACCAAAGAAATTATACCCTATCCCGTCCTTACCAAAGAAATTATACCCTATCCCGTCCTTACCAAAGAAATTATACCCTATCCCGTCCTTACCAAAGAAATTATACCCTATCCCGTCCTTACCAAAGAAATTATACCCTATCCCGTCCTTACCTAAGAAATTATACCCTATCCCGTCCTTACCAAAGAAATTATACCCTATCCCGTCCTTACCAAAGAAATTATACCCTATCCCGTCCTTACCAAAGAAATTATACCCTATCCCGTCCTTACCTAAGAAATTATACCCTATCCCGTCCTTACCTAACCCGCCTCTCTGTCCCGCCCACAGGAGCTAGTGGGGCTCAACTTCCTGCAGGAGAAGAAGGAGGCAGACTTCCCTGTTGCTTAGAACACCCCCCGCTTCAACCCTGCCTCTCCTCGCCCTTCCATCTCTCTTCTCACTGCCACCCCTCCCCCGCCCACAGGAGCTAGTGGGGCTCAACTTCCTGCAGGAGAAGAAGGAGGCGGACTTCCGGTACGGGCTGGTTCCGGCGCCGGAGAACGCCTTCTTACCGTTCCTCTCCTACCCCGTCCACCCCTCCTCTCCCATCCACCCTGCCCACCCTCCCCCTGTTCCCCTTACACACGCACAGGAGCTAGTGGGGCTGAACTTCCTGCAGGAGAAGAAGGAGGCGGACTTTAGGTGCGGGCTGGAGCGAGCGTGGGAGAATGCATTCTAACCCACCCTCGCCCACCCTGTCCTCCACCCTTCATCTCCCCTCCATCTCCACAGGAGCTAGTGGGGCTCAACTTCCTGCAGGAGAAGAAGGAGGCGGATTTCCGCTACGGGCTAGTGCGAGCGCGGGAGAACGCCGAGAGCATCGCCTTCTATGGGGGGGAGAGGAGCGAGACGCGCCTGCTACTGCAGCGCTTCCGACAATCGTTTGCCAACTATGCGGTAAGTGATCTGATGCATGTGTGCACATGTGTGTGTGTGTGTGTGTGTGTGTGTGTGTGTGTGTGTGTGTGCACTGTGGGGTGTGTGTGTGTGTTCTGTGGGTGCTTGATGCTTGCGGTGGTTGTAATCCGTGCAAGGGAATCAAACAATGCCTGCTGCTGCTGCCTGTGTCCGTAAGTCCCACCCCCCCCCCCCCCCCCCCTTCCTCTCGAATGGTCCTTGCATTAATCAGGGGGTGTTACAAAGGAAGATGCAAACACAAGCAAACAAAACCGGTAACCTAACTACCACACCGTCTTCTACCTACTCCCGTCCCCCTCTGTCCGACCCTACTGGTCGAACGGGGCTTCAATCAACTGGTGCAGCTGCCCCTCACTAAGAGGGGCAATGGGTCCCTGCATGCCGAGCTCGTCCGCCGCCAAGGCCTCGTTGGTCTTGGAGCGGAGGGCATTGGGCTGCGCTCGTTGTAGGCAGACGCTCCAGCGCTGGCGGTACTCCGTCAGCAGCTTGGCTGCCTCATACGAGGTAGGTGCTGCGTTGAATCGCAGCTTTGCCACCAGCTCCGCACACTGCCGCAGGTAGGCCATCACTCCCGGGGAGGGGTAGCCGTAAGTCTCGACCACAAGGGCATGGAAGCCCACCCACGCGTTTCGCCGCGCGTATTTCTCCTCCTTCTTAACCGCTGCCGCCCTAGCCGCCCTAGCCGCTCATCCAGGAGCTCGGTTACAGTGCTTGTCCTGGTGAGACACGGGGTCTGTCACAGTCACGTCGCACATCCACACCTCTCCCGTCAGGGGATGACGGAATGTGACATCCGCCTTAGGTTCTCAACGAGAGAGTAAACGTACGTCTCCTTGTGCACTGTGAAGCCCGCCTCTGCCCCTATGTTTGCAATCTCATCCCGAAGAGCGTGGTGAGTAGCAATCCTCCCTTTCCCCTTCTCGCAGCGCATGAGGTGGTTAGGCAGGCGGTCATCGGGGAAGGTGGTGCAGTATCGGCAGTCACAGCGCCTAGGCACGGGGAGGGGGAGGCCTAGGCGGAAGGCGGCCGCAGTTGAGAGCTGAGAGGGGCCCATCCGGAGTGAGGGGATGAGGGGAATCGCCAGCAGCCAGTCCCCCGTGCCCGGGCCTAGCACCGACTGCATCCGCTGGGCATGGCCAGAAAGGGCGTTGGGGCGCATCCGCCTCGCCTCACGCATAACCCCCAGGAAGCGGCGGGAGTGAACCGCCAACGCAAAAGACTGCTGCAGCTTTTGGCCCTTCGGGTCCGCCTTCCCAGCCTGGAGCACCTCCAAAGCCTCTGGGGGGAGAGCTGCCTCTGCAACTGCGAGACGTGCTGGCAGGGCATGGGCAGAGCCGTGGGTCGGGTCCAGGAGGGGGAGGAGCGCGGTGACAGCGGGGTGCAGTGAGTCAACCAGGGAGTGCAGGAGGTCGCTAATCACCGACGCGAGGTATGCGTAGCTGCCTTCAACGGCGGGGTCGGTGATGCCCAGCCCTCCCAGCGTAACTGGCAGTGCCGCCTGTCGCCAAATCCTCCGTCTCTCCGCGTCACTCCTCGGGGTCATGATGTGGGCCGAGTCTAGGAAGGTGAGTAGTAGCTGCTCCCCCCATGCCGACCACTCCGCTTCAGGTAACGCCTCCAGGGGGGTGGTTCTGGCCAGAAAGGAGGCAGAGGGGCTGACGCAGCGGGTGAGGAGGAGGAGGCTGAGCTGGGGATCCATTTGGGCCAGCAGCGGGAGAGGTGCCGCTGCTGCCGTTAATCTCTCCCTAACCGCGCTGGCGCAACCGTGGGGTGAACTGAGACGACTTTTGAGGCGCCTCAAAAGCAGCGGGAGAGGTGCCGCTGCTGCTGTTAATCTCTCCCTAACTGCACTGGCACAACCGTAGGGTGTGCCGATGGGGCTGCCGAGAATCTGTAGTCCTTCTCCTGAGATAGTGACGCCAGGAGGTACGGATGAGGGGTCTACTGCCGCGGCAGACCAAGCCGCGCACTTGGCCGGGTTGTGTACCAGTCCAAGGGTGGCTAGCGCGGACGTGAGTTGGTCGAAGGCTGCTGTGCAGGCCGTGGCGTCGCCGAGCAGTGTGATGTCGTTGGCGTACGCCAGCAGGACCACCTCTGGGTGTGCTGCTGCTGTGTCCGCGAGGCACGGGTGGATGCTCGCCGCGAATTAGAGGGGTCCGAGCGGGTCCCCTTGGCGGACTCCTCTGGCGCTCTGCAGCGGAGCAGAGCCAAAGTCGTGGTCGAGGAAGAGCGAGGAGGGGGGCCCATAGGAGAGGCGGACCAGAGGAATCAGGTCTTCCAGCGCCTCATTTTTTAGTCCCTCGAACACCGCCCTCCTCTCGACCGCGTTGAACGCGTTAGCGAGATCGATTTGCAGCGCCACCGCATCAGGATGAACTTCCAGGTAGGTGCGCGCCGTGTGAATTGCCGCTTCAATGCCCCCCGCTACCGCCACACCGAACTGAAGGGGGGCGAAGTGCCCTCGAGTGGCCGGCGCAGTCAGGAAGAGGGCAGCTTTGGCGATTATCCGAAGGAGGCATTCTCCTACCGCAATCGGCCTCGTCCCGCCTTGCGGTTTCGTGAAGGCTAACAGGCGGGAGGCAGTTAGGAGTTCTGCCGCGACGGTAGGCAGTTCCCTGCTAGAGCCGTGTTAGAGAGTGCTAGAAGGTGGGTGAATACTTCGGCGTTTCCTAGGGCTGCATCGCGAATGTGCTCGAAAGTGGTTCCCGAGGGCCCGGCCCCGACTCCGTTGGGGAGCTTCGCGATGAGCCGCCTGAGGTCGCGGGCTTCAATAGCGGGTGAGTTCTCAGCTGTGAAGGCGTGTAACGACTTTTGAGACGTCTCAAAAGTCAGCTGTGAAGGCGTGTAACGACTTTTGAGACGTCTCAAAAGTCAGCTGTGAAGGCGTGTAACGACTTTTGAGACGTCTCAAAAGTCAGCTGTGAAGGCGTGTAACGACTTTTGAGACGTCTCAAAAGTCAGCTGTGAAGGCGTGTAACGACTTTTGAGACGTCTCAAAAGTCAGCTGTGAAGGCGTGTAACGACTTTTGAGACGTCTCAAAAGTCAGCTGTGAAGGCGTGTAACGACTTTTGAGACGTCTCAAAAGTCAGCTGTGAAGGCGTGTAACCAGTCAGGCAGCGTTTGACTTGCAGCTGGGTGTCTCGCCGTGAGGGCCTCCAGCACTTCAGGTGAGGCAGGTGAAACGGGTGTAGCCTGGAGGGACTGTAGTGACTTCCACAGGTTACCACGCTTCGCCAATCCTTCCGCCCTGGCGAGATTCCCGTGGTGTCAGGTGCATGGCAAGGTTGGGGTGGGAGGGAAATCGCCTCGACAGCTTCTTCGTACAGGCCGGCCCAGAACCCTTGGCGAAATCGGAGGAGCCGGTTCATCATCGCGCACCAGTCAGGCTTGCGTGCTGACGAAGTGCGAAGAAGTATGCGCGGGAGGAAGGTCGGTAACTTCCATCCTGGCGCAGACTCGGGATTGGCTGCCAGGTGGAGTAGTGGTGTCAGTAATCATATCGCGAAGGACTCGCGAAGGACCTTTGGGGGGTGGCGGGCGAGAGGCGGTTGGCGACTGTCGCGCAATGGGTCGAGGTCGAGGTCTGCAACCTGCGCGAAAAGGTCAGTATTTTTCGCCAGGTCGTTAGGTTTGAGCATTGGGGGGGTGGGAATTGGGGCTCCAGAATTTTCATTGGCTGCAGCAGAGTTGACTCCGTCCTCTGTCGCGGCTCTATTTCCCCCCCTTGCTTGATTTCCCCCCCGCGGCTCGATTTCGTGCTGTGGTTCAAATTGCATGCTCGCCTCGAACTTGCAGGTTGGGGAACTCTGCTCCCCGGAGAAGGAGCTCCAATTCCTCCTCATCCTCCTCGGCTTCTGCATCCGAAATCCCCTCTCTTTCAGGGTTAAAAGCAGGGTCACCCCCGTCACTCTCTTTCCCCGTCACCCCCCCCTCTCTCTCTCCGCACCTGTCATTCAACCCACAGCGCCTTCTCGTCGTCGGTCGCAACCTGGATTTCTTCACCAGCAACTACCGCTACCTCATCCAGCAGCTGCCAAGACCTCACCTTCCAGTGTGTCTCCCTCCCGCCCCCCACTCATTCCCTAACAGCGCCTGCTGGTGGTAGGTCGAAACCTCGATTTCTTCACCAGCAACTACCGCTACCTCATCCAGCTGCTGCCAGCGGCCGTGGTGGCGCCTCTTTACTTCCGCGGGGAGATTGAGTTTGGAGTGATCAACCAGTCCTTCTCTGCCTTCAACCATGTTCTCGGGGATTTTTCAATCATCGTGTTCCAGTTCCAAGCGCTCTCGCATTTCTCCGCTATTGTGGAACGGCTGGGTACGTCTTGCCCTGTGTGACTGCCGCACTGCAAACTGTATGCTGAGCGTGCTTGTAATGAAAGGGTGATTATGTTTGGCGTGATCAACCAGTCCTTCTCCGCCTTCATCCACGTTCTTGGAGACTTCATGGAATGGTTTTGAGAGCTTTTAGTGGTGTGTGATGTGAGGAGGGGGAAGGAGGGGCGCATGTGGAGCAGTTGCAAAGATGATCTGACCAGGAAGACATGCTGCGGGCTGTTTGACTGGTGGAAGGACCATGCCACGCATGTGCACATGTGCATGTGTTACCACATGGTTTCATTCTGCCTCATGGCTGGCAGCATTTGGTCTTCTTGTTCCATGATGGATCCATAGTTTTCAATCTGAATGCCCCTCCGTCCCCTTATTCATTTGTTCAGCCACTCTCTTTAGTGTCACACCACTTTCGAATGATCATTATGATCACACTCTTTAGTCTGTTTAGTGCCGTTCTTTGACTGTCGAACTATCAGAGCTGTACACTTGGATGACTGCTCAATTTGAGTCGCTTTTGAGAATTCTCAAAATCAAACTGCTTAGAAAACGTAAGTAAGATCTTACACTCTCTATCTCTTGCACCCACCAAATATCCCTCAGTCTCTTCCCTTCCTCCATGTGTCGGTCTCTCTCTCTCTCTGTCGCTTGCGAACTATCTAGATTCTTCCTTCAGCTTTTTCCCCCACTCTCCCCTCTTACTCTCCCCTGTCACTCGCCCCTTCCACTCTCCCCTCCCACTCCCCTCTCACTCTCCCCTCTCACTCTCCCCTCTCACCCTCCCCTCTCACTCTCCCCTCTCGCTCTCCCCTCGCTCTCTGCTCTCGCTCTCCCCTCGCTCTCTGCTCTCGCTCTCCCCTCGCACTCTCCTCTGACCCCCCTCCATCCAGGCGAGTTTCAGGAGGTGCTGGATGACCAGAGCAAGCCAGCCGCGCTGCCAGCCGCCTCTGCTGCACCCGCTGCCAGTGCTGCCGGTGCTTCGGCGGCCACAGACAAAGACTCTGAGGCTGTGGCTGGGGACGGAACAAGGGGGGAGCTGGAAAGGCCTGGTCAGGCAACAGCAAGTGACGCAGGAGCAGAGCACCTGGCATCACTGCTCAACAGCTTCATCACCATTGAAAACGTCATCCTCCCAGCTTCATCTCCCACTCTCCCCTCTGCCCTGCTGCCTGCCTCTGCCTCTTCCTCCCCAACTCTCGCCCAATCCACCTCTCCCTCCTCCTCTGCCTCTTCCCCATCTGACTCCTCCTCGTCCCGCGTGCTGCTGGAGGTGGACGGACTCACTCTCTGCACGCCCCAGTATGCTTCGTGCCTGCTGTCTGGTCTTTCGCTCTCCGTCAAGCAAGGGGAACACCTGCTGGTGAGTGGTGTAGGGGATGGGGACACCTGCTGGTGAGTGGAGGGGAGGTCCTTTTTGAAATGACACAACAATGACTTTGTTCTTGCAAGGCCAGCACCTGCTGGTGAGCGGTGTAAGGGGAGGACGTCTTTGACATGTGTTCTTTACTCGACTCAAACCACGGCTCATCTCAGGACATGTGTTCTTTACTCGACTCAAAACACGGCTCATCTCAGGACATGTGTTCTTTACTCGACTCAAAACACGGCTCATCTCAGGACATGTCTCAACAATGACCTCGCTCTTGCAACGCCAGCACCTGCTGGTGAGCAGCACCTGGTGATTGTGTGATGCTAGCTGGTGTATCGAACCGCATCCATCCCTTCACACCCTGCCTGCACACCATGCCTGCACACCATCCCTTCACACCATCCCTTCGCACCATCCCTTCGCACCATCCCTTCATACCATTCTGCAGTTTGAAGTTTCAGCGCTCAGAACAAGCCATTCTGCTCCTTCTCATCTCATTGCCCCCTCATCCCCTGCTCCCTGTTCCCCCTTTCCCCCTCACCACCCTCACTTCACCGAATAAGTCTTATCCTAGTGGAAGTGACAACTTGCAATGGCTTTTTTTTGCATCTCAGCACCCCATTCCATTTCATCCCCACATCCCTCTCCGGCGCTCCTCACCCCACCACCCCTTCCCTTCGCACCCACTCCTGGCCCCCATCCTTTCCCCCCTGCACCCTCTCCCCCAACCCTCACCCTTGATAATGGGTCCAAGTGGCAGCAGCAAGACCTTTCTGCTTCTCCTCATCCCGCCACCCCGTTCCCTGCCCCGCCGCAACCTCCTCTCCCATCTCCTTTCCCCCCATGCCAGATCATGGGTCCCAGCGGCAGTGGCAAGACCTCTCTGCTTCGAGCCGTTGCCGGGCTTTGGCGTTCAGGCAGTGGAACGGTCAGAAGATATGTTTACCTGCCCGAAGATTCAGCAGCGATCGGAAGCAGCAACGCACAGAGCAATACAAGCAGTGTGAAAAATGACAGTGCCCATACAAAGAGCGACTATAATGAGGCTGACAGAGAGGGAATTGAGAGGGGAGCAAGTGGAAGGACAGAGGAGGCAGAGGGGCGAGAGAGTGAGAGGGAAGTGAGTGTGAGCGTGGAGGGAGCGAGTGTGGTGAAAGCAGAGGGCGATGTGGCTGACGTGGAGGAGGGGGTGATGGACGCAGGAGGGGCGGTGTTCTTTGTCCCGCAGCGTCCATACATGGTGCTGGGGTCACTGAGGCAGCAGCTGCTGTACCCCACGTGGAGTGAGCTGGAGGAGGGGGAGGGGGCGGGGCGGGCGGGCGATGAGGGGACGATGACGCAGAGGGAAGGGGTTGAAGGGAGCGAGGGGAAAGGAGGGATGGAGGGGAGGGAGGGGAGTATGGAGGGGTGGTGGACGGTTGGGGGGTTGATGCAGCGGTTGGGGATCAAGAAGGATGAAGACGATGGAGGGACAGGTGAGAGGGCAAGAAACATGCGTAGGTTGGTTTCTCTGTCTCTTGCTTTGCCTGCTCGCCTCACACACTTGGCACAATTGTCCTGCCTCCAGATTCTCTTTCCCTTGTGATCTCCTTCCCCCCTGGTAACTCTACTTCGCGTCCTCATCACTCCACTCAGCCAGCCGTCCGCCTGCCCGAGTCTCTGCTGCACCTCTCACACCACCTCTCACACCACCTCTCACACCACCTCTCACATCACCTCCCACTGCATCTCCTCGCCCCACAACATGATGCACCATAGGGAATCTGAAACATCTCACCTTTCCCTTCCCCACTGTTTCCCTTCCCTCTCTCATCTCCCCCCAGCTGGATTCCCCCCACCTCCATCTCCACACTCGCCTCATCGCCACAGAACATGGCGCACCGTTATCAATCCATTACATTCTCTCATTCCATCTCTTTCCAGAATTCTCAAAAGAGAATTCTCAATAGTCACTCCAAAAGTCACTCCTTTTGAGAATTCTCAAAAGTCATCGCCACAGAACATGGCGCACTGTTCTCAATCCGTTACATTCTCTCATTCCATCTCTTTCCCATTCCCTCTTTCTCCCCCCCCACACCCCAGCCGGATTCCCCCCCACCTCCATATCCACTCTCGCCTCATCGCCCCACAGCATGGCGCACCATTAGCAATACATGACAACTTCTCATCCTTCCCTCTTCCCCCCCACCAACACCCCAACCTTCCCCCCACAGCTGGGTTCCCCCCCACCTCCATCGCCACTCTCGCCTCATCACCCCACAACATGGCGCACCGCTGGAAGTCTGAAACGTCTCACCTCTGCCTTTCTCCTTCTGCTTCCCTTCCATCTGTTTCCTGCCCCTCTGTCTCCCTCCCTCTCTCATCTCCAACCAGCCGGATTCCCCCCCACCTCCATCTCCACCCTCGCCTCATCGCCCCACAACATGGCGCACCGCCCTCAGCCGTCGGATGAGGAGCTCCTGGCGGTGCTGGACGGCGTGAGATTGCGCCACGTGGCGGAGCGCCAGGGGGGCCTAGACGCGCAGGTGGAGTGGGCGAGCGTGCTGTCGCTGGGCGAGCAGCAGCGCCTTGCCTTCGCCCGCCTGCTGCTGTCTCGTCCCGAGCTTGCTCTCATGGACGAATCTACCAGCGCATTGGATGAGGAGAATGAGGTGAGGAAGGGACAAGACTGAAGTGAGGAGGAGGTCTGGGTGGCTGGTGATCCCACCTTGTCGCCTGCACACGCCTGCGGCTCTCCCGCCCGGAGCTTGCTCTCATGGACGAAAGTACCAGCGCTCTGGATGAAGAAAACGAGGTGAGGGGGATAGGGTAGCGGGTGGAGGAGTGTGTGAAGCAGCCTCGAAATGCAATACTCAGGAAAAAGGGTTGGGCGCGCAGGTGGAGTGGGCGAGTGTGCTGTCGCTGGGCGAGTGTGTTGTCGCTGGGCGAGTGTGCTGTCGCTGGGCGAGTGTGCTGTCGCTGGGCGAGTGTGCTGTCGCTGGGCGAGCAGCATTGCCTTGCCTTCGCCTGCCCGCTGCTCTCCCACCCGGAACTTGCTCTCATGGACGAATCTACCAGCGCCTTGGATGAGGAGAATGAGGTGTGAGCGGGTGGAGTAGATTGAAGTGCGGACAAGGTGTGTGTGTGCGCGTTGGTGGAGACGGCAGGAGTCACGTCACGTTCATCAGCATGGGCCACCGCAGCTTCCACCAGCACTCATGTGTGCATGTGGTCTAAGAAGCCAGGCCAGGAGTACAGCCCATGATCCACGATCCCAATCCTGCTAATCTCTCCCCTCCCACAGGCGCACGTGTACGGGCTGGTGGAGGCAGCAGGAGTGACCTTCATCAGCATCGGCCACCGTTGCTCCCTCCGCCGCTCATGTGTGCATGTGGCCTGTGAAACCATGTCCGTATGGTTAAGGTTGAGCCTCCACCCCATGCATTGTCTCCCCTCCCACAGGCGCATGTGTACGGGCTGGTGGAAGCAGCAGGCGTCACCTTCATCAGCATCGGCCACCGCAGCTCCCTGCGCCGCTTCCACTCGCTCCTCCTCACCCTCACACCTTCCGGGAGGGCCGACGCCACCACTGCTAACGTCACTGATGACGTCAGGGACAGGAGTGATGGTATCAGCAGTCGGGGAGAGGGTGTGGAAGGGAACCGGGTGGTGGCACGTGGAACAGGCAGCATGTGGACACTGGAGAGAATAGCAGACTAGACTGACTTATCAGCATCGGCCACCGCAGCTCCCTCCACCGCTTCCACTCGCTCCTCCTCACCCTCACACCCACTGGGAGGGCTCATGCCTCTGCTGACGTCACTCATGGTGTCGGAGATGACGTCAGGGGCAGCAGCAATGACATGAGTGGTGGTGATGAGGGTGAGGGAGGGAGTAGGGTGGTGGCACGTGGAACAGGCAGCATGTGGACACTGGAGATAAAAGCAGACTAGACTGATTTGTGCTTTGGGGGTCTCAACTGTAACCCATGGGATGGGGTGGGGACTTTGGTGAGGATTGGTGGCACTGGTGTGCGGGTGGCAGTCTTGCTGGTGTGTGTTTGGATACTGATCATTTATTATTCGTTTTGAGCTGCTGATTCTGATGTTTGTTGGGGTGATGATGATGGCAATGACCAAGCCCCTAGATAAGCCTAGCTGGCTGCGCTAAAAAAAGCACAAGCATGGATTCACTCTTTTGTGCTCCACATGTATGGTACTGAGCTTTTCAGATCAGTTGTTGACACTACTTCAATGACGTTCCAAAATTCTGGTCCTGGTTGCGTATGCTATGAAATGACTGACCACCCCAGCTTCCAACCAGATGCGAGGGTGACAGATGGTCAACCAGATTACACCTTATTTGTATGTTCCTATTTTCTTATATGATTAAAGCCAAATAAGCATGTGGTAAAGAAATGAGAAATGCTTTTTATTTAGGCAGTGTTATAAGCTGTAGGTTAAAAGGAATGAGATATGAAAGGATACTAAAGATAGTTGACAGAATGGCTTAAACAACTGTTATGAGTGCAATTGAGTGAGCGAGCGAGAATTGCACTATCAAAGCAAAAGTACAATGAGCGAAGGCATGAGCGAAGAATATATAGCGAAACTACAGTGGTAACGGTAATGTGTGAAATTGGGGTGCGCGACGGGCCTAGCGCCGAGGTTGGGGAATGTCGAGGCGGAGGTCCGGAGCGCGGGTTACCAACCGAACCGTGAGGTTGGGTCGCGTCGTGAACAGTGGTGGGAACAGTGTCGAGGTGAGTGTCGCGAGTGGTAACGGATTATTGTTGGGTGCTGTTGGCGGGAACAGTGGTGTACGCGCTGAGCAGGGACGCGAAGTAAGGAAAATGATTTTTCCTTACACTACCCCCCCCCCTAAGGAGACCTTCTTTACGAAAGCGCGTGTACATCCCGGCAATTTCGGCTGCGTAGGTACTCGGTGAGGACGGGGTGATTTTCAATTCTGTCCAGGGGAACCCCGTTGTCTTCGGTGGGCGTGCGGTCTTTCCAGCGGATCAGAAATTCGATCCTGTGAGCTCCCCGTGGGTCACGAACTCGGTGGCTCAAAATCTTCTCAGGCGTGTGTCAGAATATTATGCTCTAGCCTGTAGTGGGGTGCTCTATAGTGAGTACAACCCTTCTAGGGTTTGCTATTTGTATCCTCATTCTTGCAAGTGCAACCCCTCCTCTCTTTGCCTAAACTGTTTCTTGCCTAGCTAGGGCTTTCCTAGCTATGGCTCCTAACTCTACCTACTATTTTTCACATGGTATCAGAGCAGGTTCCCTAGTGGGAACGATTCCTAGGGCCCACCACCACGAATCTTTTTTTTCCTGCCCGGAGCGCGCTTCGCTCCGGCCCGAGTCGCGCCCTGTGTGCTCTCCCTACCGTCGCGCCCTCACTAGGCCCCTCACGGCCCCGTCGCGTCGCCCTTAGCGGCCCTCTCACGGCTCGTCGCGCCGCCCTTACGGCCCTTCGTGCCGCCCTTACGGCCCGTCGCGCTCGTCGCGCCGCCCTTACGGCCCCTCGTGCCGCCCCTTACGGCCCTTCGCGCCGTCCCTTACGGACCCTCGCGCGGCCCCTAACGGCCCCTCCCCTGCGGCTGTGCCAGGCCCGTGGGCGGCCCTTTCCTCGCTGCCCCTGCCCTCCCCGCTGTCCCCCGTGCTTCTACTGGCGCCCCACCCCTCCTACAGCCCGTTCTCCTGAATTAGGGTTTGGGGGTGAGGGGTATGGGGGTGAAGCCACTGTGTGCCGTTCCCTGCTCCTCCTCCTCCTCCGTCTCCCTGTGCTGCAGCTGCCGCTGAGGGGGGGTGGACTTGTTGGAGCCGTTGGAGTGGTACTAAGGGGGGGTGAAGGGGGAGTGGAGCTAGCGGTGTAGCAGCGGGTGTGTGTCAGGGGGAGTGGGATAGTTTGGGGAGGTTGAAGGGGGTGGCCGCCGTGAAGCCAGCAGCTCCAGTCGCCTGTGAGACCGTTGCGCCAGTCGCCCGTGAGCCCGTTGCGCCAGTCGCCCGTGAGCCCGTTGCTCCAGTCGCCCGTGAGTCCGTTGCTCGTCTGCCGCTACTTTTAGCCGCGGAGCCAGTTACTCCAGTAGCCCGTGTGCCAGTTGCTCCAGTTGCCAGTGTGCCAGTTGCTCCAGTTGCCCGTGTGCCAGTTGCTCCAGTTGCGCCGTGTGCCAGCAGCTTCAGCTGCCGCCCACTACCTCCTCTCCTCTCATAGTCTCTTTCCTCCTCCTCACTTGCCCGTTGTGACTACCACTAGCTTTGCTCATAATTGTGAACTTTAAACTATTGCTTCTTGAACTTGTGCTCAGAATGTGTGGTGACATTGTGATCCACCCTGAGCTTGTACTGCTTTGCTTGCTCTGCTGATTACACCCCACTTTGGCTATGGGGGTGTGTCAGAATATTATGCTCTAGCCTGTAGTGGGGTGCTCTATAGCGAGTACAACCCTTCTAGGGTTTGCTATTTGTATCCTCATTCTTGCTAGTGCAACCCCTCCTCTCTTTGCCTAAACTGTTTCTTGCCTAGCTAGGGCTTTCCTAGCTATGGCTCCTAACTCTACCTACTATTTTTCACAGCGTGATGATTGGCTCTGTTCACGGTCGTGTCATGCTGGCGAGACGATTGCGAGGCAGTTGGCTAGTGGATGGTACGTATGGGCGAAGCAAGCTGACGTGGAAAGACGGGCTGACGTACCAGTCAGCAGGGAGGAGGAGGTGGACGGTGACGGGTGTGATCATGTGGCTGATGCGAAATGGCCCGCAATATCGGGGGCGGAGTTTCGGGATGTGGGTAGGCGGAGGTTTTGGGTGTCAAGCAGTACTAGGTCGTCGGGCTGGTATGTGACAGGGCGGCAGTGGCGGTCGGCGTTGCGCTTAGCGATGATGTTTGATTTTTTTATTGCGTCTACTGCTCGGGTCCCTGCTGCTTGTAAAATCTCTACGAACTGTTGCGCGCGTGGTTCTGGGTTGTCGGGATTCGGGGTCATCGGTACTGTGGGGTCTTATCCGTAGTTCAGGTAAAACGGTGACTATTAGATCGTGGCAGATGGCGAGTTGTTATACGCGAACTCGATGAGTGGCAGTTGCTGTTCCCAAGTGGTCGGGTCGTCGCACGTGGCTCGGATGAGTTGCTCCATGGTCTGATTTGTCCGTTATGTCTGTCCATCAGTTTCCGGGTGGTACAAAGAACTAAACTGTAGTCGTGTGCCAAACTGATGCCACAGGTTCCGCCAGAAGTTGCTGGTGAATTTCGTGACGCGGTCGTTGATGATCGCTGACGGTATCCCGTGTAGTCGAACGACGGTGGAGATGAAGAGGCGGGTTGTTTCTTTGGCTGTGATTGATTTCTTGCAGGCTGCGAAATGTGCCATTTTCGTCAGCCGATCGACGACGACCATGATCGCATCGTTCCCACTCGCCCCAGCCGGTAACCCCGTGACGAAGTCCATCGTCACCTGCTACCAAGCACGCTCTGGGGGTGGTATGGGCTGCAACTGCCCTGCCGGCCGCTTCCGTGATGATTTCATGAGTTGGCAGGTGCGACACGAGGCCACGTGTCGCTGTACGTCGATCAACATCTCGGGCCAGTAATAATACCGCTGCAGCTGCTGCCGTGTTTTTTCTACTCCGAAATGGCCTGAGGTAACTCCGTCATGTGCCTACTGTAGCAGTAATTCCCGTAGTAACGTGTACCCCGGTACCCAGATGCGATCGGTGCCGGATTTTACGTAATAAACTCCCTTTGCTAGTGCGAACTACTGCGAATTTTCTCCTGTGAAGAATGGGTCCGTTTGATAGCCGTGTGTAAATAGTCCTGTCAGTAGTGGGCATCCTGAAGTGGCCCAGTCAAGTTAGATGGGACTTCCGAAGGATGAGGTTGCGGGATCAAACCCCAGTGCCGGCAAGTTCCGCCAGCCCCCCAGAAGGGGGTTTCGCACTGCTCATTTGGGAGTGGATATGCCTTACCTCGATACCCAGCGAGGCGTTTAAACAAGTGGGTAGGCGGATTACGATCGGCAGCCGGGGGTAACCCAAAGGGAGATTTCACCCCTCCTTTACATTTACCTGTCAGTAGTGGGCTGGTCTGGGCGAGTAGTATGGGGTGGATCTGGGCAGTGGGGCGGGTCAGTGCGTCAGCGATATTTGATGCCCCCTTTTTGTATGTGACTGTGTAGTAGAAATTCGACACTAGGAAATCGAGCCAGCGAATCTGTCGTGGGTTGAGGTGGGGCTATGCGCGGAGGTACTGTAGCGATTTATGATCTGTCCGTACTGTCACGTCTGCGCCGGTCAAGTAGCAGCGCCACACTTTGAATGCGTGCACGATCGTGAGCATTTCGCGGTCGTGTATCGGGTAATTTTTCTCGGGCGGATGCAGTTTTCGTGACTCGTATGCGATGGGCTGTAGGCTGTTGCCGAAATCCTGTAGCAATGGGCGGTGTCGCTTGCGTCTGTAACTACTTCGAATGGGCGGTGTGGGTAGGCAATGCGCAGTATGGGCGGTGAACAGAGAACAATTTTAAGGGCAGAGAAGGCAGCATGCTCTTTCTCCCCCTACGTAAAAGCGACCCCCTTCCGCAGCAGATCCGTCAGTGGGGTTGTTAACCGCGCCATGTCGGGGACGAACCGGCGCACATAATTAACGAACCCTGAAAAACTTTGCACCTCCGTGATATTTGTCGGGGGTGTCAAACTTATATATAGCTTACATTGTGC